GCAGATGTCTATTTCATTTCATTAATCATTTTACATTGGACATTTTCTATTTGTTTCTGTGTTTTCTTTTGTAAAAACTAAAGATTTTGTGCCATCTTTAAGCACAACATTTTGGTGAGGGGAGAGGTAGCATAAGATTCTGTGAACTCTACTGACTCTGGTGGATATAGTATCCTGTTCACAGTTAGCATGTATGATATACACATAGATATAGAAGGAAAAAATCAAAAAAGGGAGCCAAAAGGCCATGAAGTCTAGGAAAACTGACACTTGTTACTAAGGGAGGGCTTATGGATGGAAGCACATATTTGTAACATATATTCTGTTTTTAACATATATATGTACATTATTGGCTGTTCAAAATCATATGAGGGAAAAACAAAAGACTGATATCGTGCTAGACAAGGAGCTGATTGGTTGGCTGCTGGGAATGATGGAGCAGTGTGGAGGAGAAATGGAAGACACAGGTGGCTAGCTCGCAAGGGACCTTGGAAATCCACTATGGGTTTCAAGTTGTCCATCCATAGTTAGGGAACACATCTCCAGTATGAAAGCCTCATCTATTCTCCCCAAAGAAAATATTTCTGAAATATTCTGAAAATGCTTCCATCTTACCTTAATAAGATTTTTGATAAATTTAAAAGATAATTATTTAAAAGTGCTAAAAAAAGAAAATCCATATACTATACTTTTCAGTTCTATAGACTGGAAGGATGTATCTGTATGAGAAGAAATCATCAATAATTATCATTACAATAATATGGGAAACAGCATCTTTACTTTAAAGCATCAGAAAGCAATCCTGTCCTTCTAGGGTTACTTTTTCCAATATTGAAATTAAATCAAATTCCACTTTTTTTTAAAAAAAAAGAGGGCTTTCTTATCTGGCTTTACCATGCATCAATGTATTTGAGAATAATAAGCTAAATTTGGGACCATAAAATGGTAAGAAGAATGAAGAAAATCATTTTTTTCCCTGAACAGTTAATGGATCTTTGAATATCAAAAATATCAACTTCATAATGAAAAAGAACCAAACAATTGAAATAGTCTGTGAAGCCCTTGGATGGTCTCCTGCTCCCCACATTTCCTGGATGAGAGATAACCATTTATTAGATCATTCCATGTATGTGTCCAACTACAGTCAGGTATCGAATGGCTTATACAATGAAGAGAGCATCTTAACTCTGACCCTAGAGACCAATAATGCTTTGGCTTGCTTAGCTGCCATAGATGCACTCTCTAAACCTCAGTCTGCAACTGTGACTGTGAACATAGGTGAAACTTCCCCAATAAGTGAGTATCTTATCGGTGCAATTCATGTTTGTCGAAATAATTTTTTTTAAAGCACTCTAATATGTACCAATAAAAAGTATAGAATTTGGTTTACTCAGTGCTGTCAGGTTAGTGGATTCTGATGAGTTTCATCAGATATGCTTCAATTTGTCTATGTATGCTATGAAATTAACCCTGGAATTGTCTTCTCCAACCTGTTGCCTCCTAGATTTGTGGGACAATAATTCTCATCATCTCCAATCAGCATAGGTACAATTGGGGTTGGTGAAAATTTTTATCTAACATCTGGAGGGTACCAATTCAATAGATTGATCTTGAAGATGCTCCCATTACCATTTTGGCGATATATACTAATAACAGGTTTGGGTCAAAGTAATAAAATGCCACCATACAAAGGAAAGTTCAGTGGTAAAAAGGATAAGGGAAGAGAGAAGTCTATTTGTATGGGGTTGTCCATGGCAGCCTTCATCTTCATTTTTGATCATGGTGCAGGGGCATCCTTTGAATAAGATATAAGAAAGACTCTTACACTAGTCTAACTGGAAAATAGAAGTCATGAGGAAATGTTCTCATGAAAAGTAATAGACACTTATTGTTTTAGGCAGCTTTTGTTATATCATTCAAGAAGCTGTCTGAGGGAAATGGGCTTGCAGTGCCATATTATACAGAGGTATGTGGTTATTGTTGCTGCCATTCAGTTACTTCTGATTCTTCATGGTGCAGTGGACAACACTTTGTCAGGATTATCTGTCATTTGCTAGGATTATTTGCTTCATTGCATTCTTCATGCTTGTCATTAGTGACAGTATCTCATGACTTGTCTTCTGTCAAGCTCTTTTCCAGTTGCCTTTAGTTTTTCCAAGCAATGGGGTCTCTTCTCAGGACTCTTGCCCTTGCACCACATGTCCAAACTTTAGCTTCAGTACTGGTATTTCAATTGAGCAGTCTGGTTTTACTTCCTCAAGTATTGAATCATTTATTCTTCTCATAGTCCAGTAATTTTTTCCAGGCCCAAAATTCAAAGGCATCCATTTTTCTTCATTCAGCTTTTCTGATTGTCCAGCTTTCACAGTCATGTTACAACTGGGAAAACCATGGTCTTGATAATATTATGTATACAAAATTTACCTTTGTTGGTGTGATGTTGCCTCTGAGCATTAATATTTTGTTTGAATCTCACAGTCTTTTCTCCCAAGTAGCAGAAGTCTATTTCATGGTTAGGGTTACCGTTCCCATGAATGTTTAAAATGAGGAAAATAAACTTTAGTACTACCTCAACTTCTTATCCACCTGACACAAAGTTAGTTGCTTTAAGATTGAGCAACAGACTGGCTTTTGTACTCTTTCACCTTCAACAAAAAGATTCCATAAGTCTTCCTCATTTCTATTCATCAGACTAATATCATCAGCATAACAAGGATTGCTGAAGTTTCTCCCAATAATTTTAAGTACACTTTTTGTTTCTTCTAGTCTAGCATTCTCATTATATATTCTTCATATAAGTTAAATATAAGTTAAATAAATAAGGTGATAGTATACAGCCTCACACTCCTTTCCCAATTTTGAACCATTTGCTTCATATTCCTAACTCTTGCTTCCTAGCAGCCAAATTCTTCAGCAGGCAGACAAGGTAGGCTGTTAGACCCATGTTTTTAAATACTATCCACAATTTGTTGAGAAATGTGTTATTCAGAGTAAAAGCCACTCCAATAGATTGTTTCATTTACATTTTGTCTTTTAACTATAGAGTTAAAAGACTTTTTTCACCAGGTTTCTTCATCATGGAATAAGAACCATTTTTCTTTTTGGATAGTGTGTATTGTGGGAAAAAAATTCTCCCTTTAAATAAAGAACCAAAGCATTTGGAGATAGATGCAACAAAGGATCTTTTATTGACATGCGCAACTACAGTGATCACTGGTCTCCTGGCCAAAAGAATGCAAAACAGCCCCAAATCTAAGCAAGGTTATAGGTTCTAAATCCTCAGAAATGTTACATTGGAATGATTAGGAAAGTAATGTAAATCCTACTGTGACCTTTACAGCCCAAATGTAACATCTGATACAACATGCAGTGACCTTACTATAGTCTGACCCAGTTCCTTAAATTCTACATTCCTAAAAGGCTCCAAGCCCACTGCTTCCAGTTGTACTAGTGCCCTCAGCATAAACAATTGCTAACTGGGGAATTCTGGGAGTTGAAGTCTACAGGTCTTCAAGTTGCCAACACTGCCATATAGAATCTCTTTCATACCAGGGAAAAGGCAACAATCTGGTTTCTGTTATCTGTCTCTTTCCCCTCCAAAGTCATCAAGCTGTTTCAGTTTCTCAGCTCTGTCTAATATACACTTCAGAAACCATAACAAACAGGTAGAATATTATTTCCCCCCCACATGTGGTTTAAGAAATAAAGTGGCATGTTTACTAAATAAACCATATTTATAATTACAGTGGTTTTGTGGGGGATGATAAATTGTCTTGTATATTTTTCAGTTTGCCATAGTTACATGACACAACTCAGAATCAGAAGTGACCACAGAGTGTGTGCTTGTGTGTGTGTGTCAAAAAGTCAAGATGGCTAATACAACTGAAGCACCACCCCTTTTTTACACATGGCACATGTATGACACATGTAAATTAAGGGACAGAGCTTTGACTGTGGAGCTGAAGCTGCCCTCTTGACCTTTTTGACTCTCCCTTTTGTGTCCTGAAGCTCCAAATGGAAGAACAGCAAATGCCACTAAGCATAATGATGGCATGCTTAACTGAGTACGGAGGAAGATTATTCATTTTTCAATGACAGGCTGTTTTGTTCCAAAGTCATGTATATAATGAAGGCTGGAAAATATACAGTCTTTCTAATGATTAAGCTGAAATGGAGGCATGTCAGCTCCAATGCAGAAAATTCACATGCTGTCAGTATTTATTTATCAAATCGATATGGCTGCTATCAACACATTTTCTGGGTGATTTGCCAAGCCCAAGCAAAACAAATAAAACACTAAAAAATCATGTACAGTAATTAAACCCAAGAAACAATATAGATGCAGCATTTTTTTAAAACAGAGAAAGATGAATTAGCTCACGTGAAAACACATGCACACTAAAAAGGACAAAAGCCCAAGGTTCAAACATAACTTTTTACGCCTGATAAAAAGTTACCACTGTAAAAAGCATAAAAAAAAAAAGTTTTAGGCAAGCTATTCCGTAGGTTACCATTAACAGACATTAGTAACCACCCATCTTATCTTATTCACATAGAACAAGCCCTTGAAATAAGATCTTACAGTTTCTTTAAAAAAAACAAACACTTTGCAATCTATGACACGGCCTGATCTCACACTAAGAGCTGTGCTGGTTAAGACCAGCACTTTAAACCTGGCTTGATCATGTAATAGTATAAAAAGGTAAAAGACTGGGAAATGGTATACACATGTTTTAAACAGATAAGAACTGAATATTGTGAGAGCCAAAGCAGAGTTGCCATGGGATCATTCAGCAAGCAGAATGTTAATTGTCCTTCGAAATCTAAGTAGAATAATCACCAAGCACCTACCTTAGAAAATTTATGCAGGAGGATACCATGATGGATAGTATAAAATGTAGTTATTTCCAAGGGACAGGATATATCCAAACCTTGCTAATGACTGTAATTATACATTTGTTAAGCCAAGTTTTTCAAAATTATAGTTTGCTGAAAATATATAATGTTCTGAAGTATACATAAAATTAATTAGTAATATTAAAATTTGCAAATCACATTAAGCCAAAATTGAGTAAATCAAGAAGAGTTATCTGCAGCTAGTCACAATGATGCCACAATTACATAAACTGTGATGTCACAACAAAAACGTTGCCTCTTACATACTTGCATCCAATGATGTGTTGCAAGAACAAAAGGGATGGAGTTTGCCCCATGATATTGCAAAATATGTTTTGTCATGTGCTTCTCCTGCCACCCATCTGCAGGCACCCATGAAGCATAGCATGCCAGTCTTCCATTTAATTAATAAAAAATATGAGTATCTTAAAAAAAAAAAATTGAGGTGGGAGCAGGCAGCTTGACATACGTGTAAGGGACTATCACTTTGCCTATTTGAGCTTTGTCAATACATCCATTAATGAGTGGAATTGGCCCATATTGGTCCAGCTTAATTTCAGGAAGAAAGGGATTTTTATTTTAAGAAAGGCAAGATCCACAGCTTAGCAACACCTGAAACAAAGGGTAGGGGAAGGGAATAAAAACAATTAAAAGAATATTTGTTATTATTATTTGCCTTCTTTCTTTGTTTGCTTCGGCAATCTACATTTTGCAAAATTATATGTTCATCAAATCTACTTTGATCCCACATTTCAATATACTTCTGAGGCAGTTAACACTGTTGAAATAATAAAACAGCAATAAAAGGTATGAGCAACATAGCACCACTTAATGGAAATAGTTCAAATTTAAATTAAAACGCAGAATAGCTTTAAATGTCTTAGAAAATAAAAAGATAGTCATTGACCTGCTGCTGAAATTACATTGCAGTAGCCACCAAGTAAACCTCCTTCGCATCTCCACTTTTTCCAACAGTTGAGCTCCGATAAATCAAAATCCCAAGAAGTATAATTGTGTGTTGCCTTGTGGGGCATATAACATTTGTACTAGATTCATTCCTGGATCCAGGCCATGACTGCAGAAAGTTTGGGTCAAACTACAAATAGATCACCCTAGGATTTATAGTAGACTGGCAAGACAATCTATGGTTGCTTGGGTATAAAGAAGGATTTAAAATTCTGCACCTTCTACAAATTGTACTTTCAAAAGTACTGCCTAAGATGATTGAAATAGATTGCAGAATTATTCAGTGTTATGGAGGTTCTTCTAAATAGAATAACACTTTTGGAGTATTCCCACAAATGGAAGAATGGAAGTGTCTTCACTCTTTCTACCTGCTTTCTTCAACTCCTGCTACCCTGCAGGAAAGGAACAGGAAAGAAGGAGAGCCAGTTTAGTGTAGTGGTTAAGGCATCAGGACAGAAACTGGGAGACCATGAGTTCTAGTCCTGCCTGAGGCATGAAGCCAGCTGGGTGACTTTGGGCCAGTCACTGTCTCTCAGCCCTAGGAAGGAGGCAAGGGCAAACCACTTCCGAAAATCTTGCCAAGAAAACTGCAGGGACCTGTCCAGGTAGTCACCAGGAATCAACATTGATTTGAAGGCACCCCCCCCCCCCCCCCCCC